CAGAGGCATGCAGTATACAAGAAAATATGGTGTTTGTTAAAAATAAACATCTAGGTAGCTATTTATGTGATCCTAATTACCTTAGTGCCTAAGCATCCTGAAATTACAAATGGATGCTATCCTCATAGAACTCCCATGAAGTACTGTTTCCATTTTACCGGTGATAGCTTGAGGCACACAGTAAACTAATGACTTACCCAAGATTATAGAGATCTCTGATATATAGGATGGAATTGAATGCAGGTCTTAGAGCCAGTTTCTTATCTTCTAAGCTGTCAGCTACCACGTACATTTAGTAGAGAAAATTCAGATGGTGCTAAGCAATTTCCCATATTTTTTTTAACTCCCTCTCACTTACTATTTCAATCCACCTGTCTATAGGAATCCTAGTCCGACATCTAACCGGTCAGTAGTGTGCTACGTTGACAGTAGCTGGCTAAACCACTTGTTGATACAACATTTTTATAAAGTGTATTGTATCCTTCATTCCCTGTAGTTAGTTCTTTGGAAAGTAACAGTCTTCTCCTATTGCTAGATTATGATGTTTCTCCTTTAGTTCAAGCAGCAGAGTTCAGTGGTTTTTGGTGGTGAAGGCCTCAGGCTGAAACCCTGCTAACTTATGGTACAAATAATTAAATATGCATCTTCTAGTGGCTATTTCATGATATTTAATTTCTCTATGTTAAATATTCCCAGATACAGAGAACCAGTGAAAGCCACATCATAGTGCTTAAACCTTATGGTAAAGCTTCATGGAAAACTGCTGGAAGAGAAGGTTAGCTGGGCACCCTCAGTTAGTCCAGTGAGGAGATGGGTCCTTCCCAACTTATTGTAGGGTTAGAGTATTGTTGTAGCCATAATGGTCCAGGAAAGATGCAAGAAGCAAAGGCCAGCTGAAGAGATGGGCACTTTGTACTTGAAAGCTTATTTAACATCTCTCCCAACTACACAGTCAGTCCAATAAAAGATATCACAACAAAACAAAACAACCTCCCCACCCAGTTGCTTCCCCACTTGTGGCAGTGGGCACAGATCAAGTGGGAAATCAGAAACAATTATTTAATAGATTTTAATAGATTTCACATTAGGACTGGAAGGGACCTCAGGAGATCATCAAGTCCAGCCCCCTGCCCACACTCTCATTAGATCTTCCATACCAGCAGAGATCAGGTCAAGACTTCACCTCCAAATGGTGATCTGACTATAAAACTAGAGGCCTATCATCACATATATCTAGGCTGTAGAATACTAAACAGGTAGCCATAACTGACCAGCACAGATTTTAGGAGGCAAGAACAAAGTCAGCCATTTTCATCCCCCTCCTGCATTTGTTCTACAGGCTTTATTCCCAGCTATGCTGACTTTTTTTTTTTAAACATTACCTCAACTATGAAATCTAAAGTGGGAAATTATCTCTTAAAGCAGCATTTCTCAACCCGTGGGTTGCAAGAACATTTAGAAGGGTCACAAGTGAGTCCCAGAAAAATGCAGGAAAGCACAGGTTTTCCCTTGCAGGCTGGCAGCATTCCAGCCTGCAAGGAGCTGCTTGGGGCAATTGGAGGCAGTGGGAGCACGTGCATCTGTACATGTGCATGTACATGGCTGGCATGCAGCCAGGCAGGGTCATAGAAGCAGCCCCAGCAGCTGGACGCAGGCAAGTGTATACTGGTGCTAGGGGAAGGTGGTTGGGTCCCAGGGCTGCAAATCGTGGTATTCTTGTTTAGATTCTGATTCCTAAGTCAGCCCATAGACTAATATCTAATTCCAGGTTCTTGCTCCAGGTGAGAGGGATAGATTTTGCTTTTTACTCTTTCCCATATCTACAAAGGCAAATATTTGAGATTTATTTAAGTGAGCCCACTGAAAATAGAGAGCACCTATCCTTGAAACGGTTAGAGATAGTGGTTTCAGAATATAGTGCATGCTCCAGATCAAATTTTAGGTTTAGCACAGCAATTCTCTTTAAGTGGAGATGTGCTCATCAGTGAAGGGCTTGTCTGAAAGTGTGATTCATTTATCTGTTATTAGGGTCTTCAATTAAGTTGTGTTGGCCTCTCTGAGGTCCTGGGCTCCTTCTTTGAAGCCCCTATCCAAATCTCTTCTTGATCCACTATTTCTAAGTAAAGTGAAAAGGCTATATATTCCTTTACATTGATTAATATTCTCATTTTCTGAGCAGGGTAATGCCCTTAAGTGAGACAACTGCATGTTTACTTGAGAATTACAATGTTAAGGAAAATGTGGTATAAACAATTTTATACTGAATGTGACTTAACAAATTTGGTTTCAAGAACTGTTTCCCTTTTTTTAGCACTGTATTTAAAGTAAGAATTTTAAGAAAATTAATAGTCACTGTCAGACTTCTTGATTAGTTTGCCTTTATCTTAAATCCACATTCTTTCCCATTCCACTTTTTATTACTGTGCATTATTTACATCAGAAATTCTGCATTAGGAAACTAAAGACTATAGTAAAATGTATTTATGCGAAGGAAATTAGTGCCAGCTAATATGCTACGGTTTTTTGCTCCATTTTCCTTCTGCATCTTGTTTTTATAATTGGCCCAAATTGTGTCCTGTGTTGGGAGCTTGGCAAGCTGAGAGGGTTGTAGACTGGAGAAAGACTTGTAGGACAACTTGTTTATGAGCCTGCATATGTATGGGATCTGGCAGAAAGCACTACTATGGTGACTGTTAGCTGGTATTTGACTAATAGAATATATAAAATCTTAGCTTGTTGAACATGTGACTAAATAAAGGCAAAAGAGATATTTACCGGAATGGGTATAATTTCTGTGCAGCAAGAATCAGCATTCCCCTAAATATTTCCTAAGTGACTGTCCACACAAGGAATGGTTTTCTGGGTGAATCATGCAATTCTTTGTTGACTCACGTTATAGAGAAATGGAGAGAACACAATCCAAGATGGTAAGAATTTGTTTAGGAATAGAACAATGGATCATGCTTATTTACATTAAAATCCAGAAACTGTAGCCATTACAATTCACTTTTTACAATGCCAAGGATTTATGAAATATGTTTTTCCTGAAAAAAGCAGAGGCAACTCTGATATGAGAATACAATATTGCATGTCAAACTGTGACCTTACCTGAAATCTTGAAATAAACAGTATAAGTACATGAGACCACAATTAAGAGAAAATCCAGGTGCTAGAAGAAATAGTGTTTTTAATTCTGTAGGAGGCCGTACTGAGCCAGTTCCTCAGCTTGGTGTCATAGAGCACCAGGCTGTTGGAAAATTGAGCTTTTGGATGACACCTGTGGCAAATGGGAACCAAAAAGGCCTTTTTGTAATGGTCAATTTACTGGCCATTGTTTTATGTCTATCTCAATTTCCCTTGTAGTTCCAAATGGCTGTGGTATTCTTTTGATTTCCTGTGGGTGTTGCTGTGTGCTGTTATGCTCTGGAGTTTCACCCCCCACCCCTATATAGCTACATTAAGTGGGGAGTGAAAGATTCTTAAGACAAACCTTTAGTAAACCACATAGTGATCAACTTGGAAGAAAGGTGCTAAAGAGCGTGGTCACATAAATCCTGCATGTGCCATATGACTTGCCTGAAATATCGGAACAGAAAAATCCTATCCTTCTGCTGTAATTGTAGAACCATTAGAAAAGAAAAGATGAGCCACTGTATTTTTAGTTGCCATGAATCCTATTGCATGAGTATTATCAAACTGAGACTATGTGACAACCAAACCATCATTTTGGCTGTAGGACACCATATATATCTACACAGTCACCAAATCTATACCTCTAACTATTGTTGCTCCCCCCAGTCAGTACAATTCCTGATGCCTGATTTCTGAGAGGGGGATTTTGGAACTCTGCATCTCTTGTTTAACATGGCAGCTCTGAGAGCCCAAACACATTTCACATCCCATCTACTAGATTCAGCTCACAATTTTATTGTAAAGAAGTCATTTCTGCTCTCCGTGGAGCATCCCAGCAGTGGGCCGAATGAGAGGGATAATTAGGAAGAGCGGTGGGACACCCCAACCCAGCCATTCTGGTTGTCCATCAAGGATTTTGCAAATCCGACCTCGACTCATCTGTTTAAACATCTGTGCCTCCTCCTGTCCGTGCAACTTGTCTCCCTCTCGCTTCTCCGTGTATCGCGCCTGTATTTTGGTGACACGGCTCCTAATTGAGGAAATGCAATCGCTGCTCATGCCGCTCTTTTGTGCACCGCAGTGAGATGAAGCCGGCTGTCATCTTTCCCCGACCGATCCGGCCCTCCTTGAAATGCAGCTCACAAATGCCTGGAACCGCAGGGTAGTGGCCGCGCCGCGAGGCAGGCAGGCTGGCGTGCGGCGCTCCGCAATGGAGCCGAGCCCTGCCTGTTCGCCCTCCCGCTTCCTTTCCCCCCTGCCTTTCCCCCCACTTTTCCAGGCGGCCGGCTCCAGCTCGCTTTCTTGACGTCATGTCTGTAGAAAGGTTTCGGCAGGCGCAGTGAGAGGGGAGAGGGAGCACGTTAAACTTTCACATCAAGTCCGCCGGCTCCCGGAGCAGGGCGCGAGGCTCTGCGCGCTGCCGCCGCCGCAGCTGCAACATCTGGAAGTGTTCAGGGTGTCTGTCTGTCTGGGAGAGGGGAGGGAGCAAGGGGCTGGGACTCGGCTCTCTCTCCCTCTCTCTTCCTCTGCAGAAACAGCTCCCTGCCAACACAACGCACTCGGAATGGCTTTGAAGAGGAGGAGCAGCAGCCTTTGAACATCCCCCCCCCTTTTTTTTTCTCTCCCTTCCTTCCTCTGATAGTTCGTGGATTTAAAAAAGACATTGACTCCTCAGAGATTTGTCCTGGATGCTCCCCCCCCTCCCCGTTTCTTCCCCTTCTTGCTTTTCTTCTTCTTTTTTTTTTTCTTTTTCTTTTTTTTTTTTTTTTTCTTTTTTTTTTTCTTTTTCTTTTTTTTTTTTTTTTTCTTTTTTTTTTTCTTTTTCTTTTTTTTTTTTTTTTTCTTTTTTTTTTTCTTTTTCTTTTTTTTTTTTTTTTTTTTTTTTTTTTTTTTTTTATGGTTTAGCAGCCAGAGGTGCTGTGCTAAATTCTTGGAAGGGGCCCGGATGTACTGAGGATGCATTGCAATTTCACTAAAGGAGGCAGTAGTGGAAAGGATCCGTTTTTGGTGTTTGATGCAATAATGGGAATCAGGTAATATAATACAAGGGGAAATACTGCAGCTCCTTTTTTACCTCGCATTTTCCCGAGCCGATCTTTGGAGGGATTTAATCCGGACTCCTTTTAAATGGTCAATGAAAACAAGAGGATGTACATTCCGGAGGAAAACCATCAAGGTAAGGAGGAGGTTTGCCCCCTACGCTTCCCTGCCCGGTGCTGCCACGGCCGAGGCGAGGCGGGGGGAGAGCAGGCTCTGACCCCGATTTCCATTCACATCATGCCGATGGCATCAGGCGGGGCTGTGGCAGCGATCTCGGCAGTGGTGGCTGCAAGCCCCCGAGGACCATGTGTCTGGGATGAACTAGCAGGCAAGGAAAAGTTGCCCGGGTCTTGTCTTGAGGCAGAGACGCGGCCAAGGGGCGCCCGATGGATGGAGCCGGGAGTTTGGCTGGAGGCGAAGGGCATGGGCCGGCCAGCAGGGCTGGGTCGTGCCGTGGGAGCTGGCACCAGGGCTCTCCACCGACGCCGGGAGAGGGGCCCTCGGCTCCTTATGGCCATCCTCATCCCCATCCTGCTATTTCTGACATCTCTTCCCCAAGGGGAGGGGATGGAAAGATCTTCCGGCGCTGGATGGGGCATCTCGGGGAAGGCACCTGGCAGCCCGACTGCATCTGATGCCCAGTTCAAGCCGCGATGAAGCCGAAGGGTGGGGGCTGCCATGAAAGTTGAGCTGCCCTTCAGGCAGACAAGGGTCTTTGGGTAAATCTGATCTCTTTTATTCCCCACAACTCCAGAGCTGCCCTTTAGGCAGGGGTTGCTCAGCCACTTCCCCCACCCCCGCCACCCCGGACTGCCCGCGCCATGTGCATCGAGGCCGATCACTCCCCTTCAGCACTAGGCAGCGCTTCCCCTGCCCACGCCAATAAACTTTGCCCAAGTCTCGAGGTCTCTCCCCCCACCCGCCAAGCGGCCTTGCTTGCAGTTATTTCTGTCTTGTCCCAATGCCCCCGAGCAGGTCTTGGTGCCCACCTTGTTCTTGGAGAACAGATCGAGCCCTCTCCTTCCCCAGCCCTGTAGCGGGGTCCAGTTGTTTTCCAGCCTGCAAACACCAACCCCCCCCGTAAGTAGCTTCCCCCCAAGCCTCCCTGCATTGCCTGATAAGGCAGCCTCTCCGTTGTACTGGTGCGTGCCTAGACCTCTTGTGTCAGAGGCTAACTTGTGTGCCTGCCTGGGACTCCTCTCCCTCTGCTCTTGCGGGGGGGGGGTGGGGGTTCTTGCCTTTCAAGGCTGCAGTAAACCATCTCCGCTTGCTCACAGCGTGTCAAAGCGGTGGGAGAACTGCTCCACTTGGCACCAGGAAGGTGTTTTTTGACCTTTCCCTCACCACACACCTATTCCTCCTAATCTCCCCCTCCTAAAGACATACTGGCTGTAGTAGGCTGCAGCAGTGGAGGAAGAGGTCGATCTCAGCGATCACCTTCCCTCAGCAAAATGCAGATCAAAAAAGAAAAACAATCAAACACCCCCAGTCGCTCTCCTCAAGTGGAGTGGGTGGGGAGAGAAATCAGCCCCTCATCTAAAGGTGCTCCTTTTTTTTTTCCACTTGTGCAAGACCCAAGCGCTTTGCACATGCAGTAGCAGGTACCAGTGGGCTTCTGCTCCAGTGCCAGAGCTGGTAGAATGGACGACGAGCTCAGCCTCCATAGCAATATGCCAACGCTATGGCAACCTAAATCCAGCTCCCTACTTATCAGCTGCAGTGATTATATAATTGGAGGAGCAGTTTTGCATCTGTCTCTGGATGTGGGTTGTCCCTGCTCCTAGGTGAAAGAGCAACTTGTAAAGCAAACAAAATTACGCAAACAGGGAAGGTAGTTCTGGTCCCTCATAGAGCGGGGCTGGCATTTGTTTACAATATATTTTTTATTTTTGTAAATGGAAGGAGCTTGAAAGGTTAAATGGCTGTGTAGGCAAGACAGTGTGGTAGCAAAGATGATCAGCCGTCAAAGCAAACCCATTCCACTATGCAATAGAATAATTACAGCAAACACCAATGCTAAAAATGAAAGGCAGAGACTAAAAAGCTGAGTTCAAGGGAAAACCTTGTGCTACCAGGTTGCTCTTCACAACATATATGAAACAGGATTGGCTTAGAATACTAGAATGTCTTGCCCTTATATTCCCCAGCTGTTGACAGTGAGTAGGCCAATCTTTATGTCTACTTGAAGTTTGAGCAGCCTGACTAGGCCTCTTCTCGTAGGTGCTTTCTACTCATGTTGACATCCCGTTAGCCAGTTACTTGGTCTCCTGTTGTGGAGACTAGATACCAAATGATCCAAATTAGAGAAGGCTATTTAAAGAAAAAAGGCTAGCAAAGGCCTTTTGGTCAGTTAAAGAAGATTTTATGATTAAAAATGTATTGTGAACAATATGCCTTTCTTTGGCTACATTGCATTCTTAAGTATTACTATATATAGGTTTATAATATACTTATATTAGCTCTATAAATGTAGTTTAGAAACATGAGAGTGTATTTTTTGCTCTGCAATCATGTTTTCCTAATTTTAGGAAATTAGAAATATGGATTTACTGTATTTTCAGCACACTCTCACACTACACAGAAATGGGAGTTGTCAAACTTAGTAGTTTCATTGTTTCTTGATGTTTAGGTACTTTTCAATGTTTAATTTTCCTACACAATGGGATACATTTTAGTAATAATGAATTATTCATTGTTGCCATAGATTATGTGTTTATTTAGAAGAAAACAACAAGCACAACAAAAGGCTTTTAAAACTAACTACATTACATTTAATACACATATGGGACCTGCAGTAATATTAGATGGGCAACATTAGTGCATGCCATTATTCTGCTTTGCAAATTTTCTCTGATAATATGAAATAGAAAAAGGGTCTGTAGAAGTATGTTTACAATGTCTTAAAAGGCACAAGGGAGCAAACCTACTCTACAAGTTTAACTCTAAAATGCAATCATCTAGTTATTTTATGGCTTGTGCTTGTGGCATGGGGAGGGGTCTTCGGTGGGATTTGTTGGCTAAGTAGCAAATAAAATAGTTTTAGTTCTTGTTTTTGTTTGTTTTTTAAATAGTTCAGCTTTAGGGGTTATTAGTATGGAAGTAAGAGCTTGGGGTTGTCTGAGTACTGCCTCTTCCAGAAGGTGGCACTACAGGGCTATGGAGTCAAGAAGTCATAAAAGAACGTAATATTTAGCAGACTGGACCTAGAATCCTCACTAATTTGTACCCAGCCTCTTGTAAGGATCATCTACTTTTTCAGAAATGAAGTCCAGATGTAGTCCAGGGGTCTAGATATGCATCCATTCTAGAAGGAAATTCATTAGTACTAAGAACCTATGTTAGGTCATCTTTTCCACGTAGTAATGATCCTCTGAGTGAAAATCCATTTCTGATATCAGGTCTAAACTGTTCTTCATTCAATTTCAGTTAATGCCTTTGGGCTTTGTCCTTGTTGCATAGTTTGAATAGATTCTACCTCCTCCTTGCAGAACCCTCTTGGGTATTTGTAAACCATAATTAGGTCTTCTTGCAGCCTCCTTTTCTAGCCTACACATATTTTGTTCTTGAAACCGTTCTTTTATAAGGCATGCTCCTCGCGCTTCAAAATATGTCTTTATCTCTTAAATAAAGGCTATATTAATTAGTGCTGTAATTTACAAGAAACTGCTGATAATGAGAGGGTCAGGTCACTAATATACTGAAAAGATACTTTCTGACTAAAGTTAGGGTCATGTGACATCTCGTGTGGCAGAAGAGAATATACTAACTCAAGGGCAAACAACATTTTCCTTAACCTTTCAGATGTAAAGATATAGGTGATTGCATACACTTCACAGATGATTTCAGTTTATGGGTTGGAATTTGTCTCAGGCAGTTACAACACAAAACCAGTGGAGATATAGGTTCAAAAATATTGGATGTCTGCTCTAGTTTTCTGGTGTATTTTCAGAGTATTATTTTAATTTCCTGTACTTTTTGAGGGGAATTTTGGTTGTCTGGAAAGTCCACTCTTTCCATAATTACCAAAGGCTCAGATTAGCACTGTTTCTTCATTTTATGCTTTCATTTTTTTGCTGTAAATGTCTGAAAACAGAAATAGAATAAAAACTGTTTCGTGAGGCATAAAAATTGACTGTTGTGAAACTGTCCATGATCTGAAATCTTGTTTCATGTTCAAATATTGGAAAAAAGATTTTAATCGTTGTTTTGAAATGTTCTATCATCCTAATTCTGTTGCATTAACATTAAATAGCATTATTGTTAAAGGACAATCTTCATCCTCAAAGTCTTGGAACTTTGTCAGGGTATTAAATAAAATACAAAAACCATTAGTTCAAACATTATAAAATACATGGTAACACTGTAGCTATGCTGAACCTAATTATTTTTAGGACTTTTTTAAAAGGCAGGTATGATAAGTGGAAGTGGATATGTAGGTGGAGAAATGGAGTTCTGCATCGTAAAGGCTATTGCACCTACTGACATAAGATATGGAGGTGCAAGCCCCAAAAAGATAGTTGATGTCAGACAATTTATCCAGCCAAGAGCTAGTTCACTGAAGGTGTCTCAGTTTTAGGCATTTTTTTTCTATCAAGAGCTTTAAAAATGAGTAATTGCTAAAGGAGAAACTCCCAAATTGGGAAGGAACCAATTCAAAACATTTAGATGGTGATTTAATCCAAACAAGCCTCCTTTCTAAGGTACAGTTGGATGAGAAACATTCACAAGTATATGCCCTAAACTCTGTACTCATATTGAGAGGCTTTAACATTTAAGTACGATTCATGGTAAAAATCCCTTTAATATCCTTTTGAAGCTTTGATTTGCAACGCATGCAAGTAAATGGAGTAGTCTGCTGCATAGAGTGTATTATTTTCTTTCAGTTCTGAAGAAAATTAATCCAGATCTACATTTATGATGTGGCCCATATGATTATCAATCACCCTTCCTCACATGTTGTTTATGGAGTTGTCATCATTTACACAGACTCATTTTGAACATTGATCTGCCATTTTCATGTTTCAAGTCAGCAGCTAGTTCATAGCTTAACCCTTTATTATACATTCTGGAAATTAATCTTTGGGACAGCCTTGTTCACATGAAGGAACACCAAATGCAAAATCTGTCCTGGGGAAA